TCCCTCTTGCTATTTATTCTTTTTCTTTGATTTCTTATATAGATACTAAACTATCTAGCTATATATCATCAATCTATCTGCATGTCTGTCTATCCCTTGTATTTATTCTTTTACTTTGAGTTGCTGTATAATTACTAAACTCACTTAAAATTGAAAGCATAGCTGTCATAGATCATGTTCTGGATTGCACAGAACACCTAGTCAAGATATTAATCTTGAAAAAAAACCTTCTTTTAAAAGTCAATACCAGTCATAAATTATGCAAAAGATGGTAATACATACATATACAAGTATAATCACATTTGCACATATGATGAATAGGTATGTCAAAAATAGTCATCTTGGCCAGGTGTGGTGGTACACACCTTTTACTTCACACTACATAGTACTTCAGAAGCAGAGGCTGGCAGATCTCTTTGAGTTCCAGACCACCCTGGTCAACAAAGAGAGTTCTAGGTCAGCCAGGGTTACATAATGAGACCCTGTCTCAAAAAAAAAAAAAAAAAAAAGTCGTCTTACCAAGTGACAATAGATTTTGTTACTCAAGTTTTTAGGAATTTAGAAACAGGTATTTGTACCACATAAAAGCAATTACATGATCTTTTATTTTATTTCCCAGAACTTTATCACACAAAAACCCATTTAGGACCAATGGCTCTGCATTGAGCAACACATAAAACTAACTTACAATTTTTGCAATTTAATATTTGAGAGTTTGATTAATATAACTTAATCCTGAGACCAGTCAACAGTTTTTCCTTTAAACATCTTCAGCTTCTTTGGATTAGATTTGGGAGGTGTGGTAGAGAACAAATAATTTACTAAATGAACACTGAGAAAACAAACTCCAGAATGTTCTAGAACAAGAAAGAATATTCAAACTAATAGGATTCTAACAAGAAGCTCAGTCTAAACCAATGGATCATTCACCAAACCAGGGGAGGTCCAAGTGCCAGAAAGAATTAACCAACATCCACTTGAGGAGGCAGTGCTGAATAGTTGAGCATAAGGGTCCCAAGCTGGTACCTGGCACTTATGTGGATGATTTCACTAGTGAACACTGATTGTCCTTGGGGCACATTTAGGTACAAAAACTGTTTAAAAAACTATGCTTCTAACTTCAAAGTGACTATGAGAGAGTCATTTTAGTTACTATTCTCATTGCTGCAGCAAAATCCTGGGAAAGAAGTGCTATAAGAAAACAAGCCTTTATTCCGGCTTACAGTTTCCGGGGATACATTCCATCATGGTAGGGAAGGCATGGTGAGAGTTGCAGGAGTCTAGCTGTTCACCTTGCATTTACTGGCAGGAATCAGAGAAAACAGAAATTTGAGCCATCAATAAAATCTCAAGGCCAGTCCCCAGTGACCCATCTCCTCCAAGATTCTGTGCCCTAACAATCCACAATATTCAAAAATAGCACCATAAGCCTGGGTCCAAGTGTTCAAACACATGAAACTATGGATGACATTTCACATTCAAACCACAATCTAAAGTTAATTTTGGAGCCAGATGTGAGATAGCATAGCCCAGGAACACAGATTCAACTTACCTCAAACTGCATATGCTCAGGTCATTATAGCAGTATGAATTATTCCCCTTTCTGTAGTAACAGAATAAACTTATGAGCCAAGGCATTTTAAAAATACATTGAGGGTAACATCAGGTAGACATGTTATATCCAAATTGGGAAATCTGTTACAGTATTCAGATACTATTTGTAACATTTTAATACTTTTAGTGGGTGAACATTAGAGAGGGTTGTAACAGTGGCTATGATTGCCCCCGAGGGCCATGTGGACCTAAGGAGTAGATTATTCAGTGTCAGAGTTCAGGCTGCATTTCCCTTCCCATTAGGTTTCACTGGTTCATTTGTAAATGAAAGGGCCTGTTAGTAGGATGAAAACCCCTGTATCAATGGTAACTCCATCTGTGTCTTGCCTTTTAGAAAACAAATCTTACTGAAATATGATATTATAATCAGGGCATCATTAAATGGCTATCATTTCTTCTGGTTCAACTATTTTAGGCAGAAGGAATCAAAGAAACAAGGACAAGGCACTTCCTCTTTAATTTTTCAGGGTCAAACTGTCAAGGTGTCATTCATCATCCTCAACAGTCCGGGTACAGTCAAGTAGAGACTTGGAGAGCAATTCCTTTGGAATGCTAAAAGAGAGAGATGTATAAACAAAGAGGACAGCAGTCTTTAGAGATACAAGTGTTCCCTTAGGGACATCCCTTTGAGAGATCTCTGGACCCTACCATGTGTGCCTCAGTGTATTCTCATTCTCAACTTGGGCTTGGGTTTTCAGGTGTTTCTGGCCCTTGAGTGGGAAATGAAACCACTTAATTTGGAGTGACCTCTACAGGTCACTGTATTAACACACTGAGTGTCTGACCTTGAAATTGTATGACCTAGCAGGCTTTAACATCCCTCCATTTCCAATATATGATCTCTGTCCAGAATATCCAAAGAGATAAGGTGTTAGTGAGGTGCCTCAGTGCAGCCAATATTAGGATCATTTTTAAAAATTTATTTAGTTTCCAGTAAGACCTGATATCCTACTCATTTATTACATTCAGGGCAACTTTGCACATATTTTGAATGCCAATGATTCCAGTGATTTTATCTTCTATAAGTTTCATGGCAAAAAGTAAACCTAACACAAAAATCTCTGACATATGCTTATGATTCACAGCTTTAGCAAACGTCTCACACCCAGTACCTGCACACTAAGGACACTCCTGGAAAAGAATTCCATAGCAACGAATGAAATAGGAGAAAAACTTAACATGCAGTACTTAGTGACATTTGACCAACATAAAGCATTTGTATTAGAATGTCAATTTAAGTAAATTCATGTTTATGTGTGTGTGCACTTGCTGATGTCTGAGTTGGCATGCATATGTCAAGGTGCTTATGGGAGATCAGAGGACAACTCAAGTGTCATTCCTCATCTGCTACCTTATTTAAACCCAGTCCTCTCTGTATTTCTGCACTGTGTACACCAGGCTATATGACCTATGACCTTCCAGATATTCTCTTGTTGCCTCTTAAAAATTGTAGCCCCGGTGGGATTTGCTGTGTGCACTACTATCCCTGATTTTATGCAGACTCTACAGATTCAGAGTCTCAAGTTTTCAAACTCGTGTTTTGAGCTCTTTATCTACTGAGGCATCAGTTCTCCAGCCTACATCTTTAGGATGTTCTTCACATTGTAAAGACTTGGAAGAGATTTTATCTAGCGATAACACTGAGTTCTATGAAAGAGTGATGAAAAGGGTTTATTGATCCAAAGGACACACAAGCCAATGTCAGAAAATACTTATATCCTTTAGAAGGAAGCTTTGTCAAATTTATTATCCTTTCCTTGCAATCTGTCCTTTGTAAAGTTATGAAATGGGAGTGGCTTACATTTAGCTCCTGCATTGCTATCGAGATATGGCAGGCATACCTTTATCTTTTGTCAAGTCAACAGCTGATTGGAGTAATCAATATATTTTGTCCAGGTAGCATGATTCATGAGGTTCCTTAATAAGTTAATGTACTTGGGGCAACAGGATCCTATTCAGTGTATTAGTCATATTTTCTTTGTATGGTCCATTTTTTTCTCCAGTGTTCTGTAAATTGAACTTGTATTTAATCCTCAGAATCAGGTTTTAGACCCATGACTGTAGCCTCAGAGAACTGCTGTAAGTGCGGCCAAGGGCACATTCTGGCTATCTTATAGAATCTAGGTGGAACATTTAGGTGACATATCCTTTTCTTACATATAAGGGATATGTCTTTCTTTTTTACTTTAATTCTGGAATGTGGGGAGGGGAGGGCTGAAAATAAAAAGACAGGCTTTGGGTCTTTACATTCAAAAGTGTTTCCTATATAATCTTGTTTAGGAAAGTAACTAGTTACTGGTTCAGACAGAGAAAATGTCTCAATACTGAAATAAGATTAAGCATTTTATCTATGATGTCAAGTGACGACTGAGGCGCTTTGTTGGCCATCGACAACTGTTTCAATAGTGATCCCATGGGGGACTTGGTAGCATTCTATTTCAAGCACAGTCATCACTGGAGTTGAAGGCCCACCCTCATTTTGGAGACTTTGACAAAGTTCCTCACTTGTGACTTTACTTATTACAAGGGGGAAAGGGACCATTTTATTTTAGCATTTAACAGTATTTCTTTCCCATTGCTTTATAATAGCTACGGCAACCACTACTCCTCTGGAATCTTCTCTTCATTTTTGGGTTTCTGTGAGGAAACAGGTATTGGTTAGGGAAACAGATAATTTTGAGGGCTCCAGCTATCAACTGGGCTTGTTGTACTTAAAATTATCTTTTCCTGGGTTATTTGGACTATCTTATTTTGTTTTAGAAAAGTCCAAAACACCACATTTCAAACTTAGCTTAGAGGGTGTGGGTCCTATTGCAAACTTTTATATATTCTTAATGCCCAGAGTAGGCTAGTGAATTAAGTGTCTAGGAATAGTCTGCATTTCCTAGGATAAACTTTAATCACAATAAACCATCTAAACTTTATGTACCATCTTCAGTTTTATCTATTATAAACCTCTTCGTAACTTTCTCAGACCTACAGTAACTTAAAATTTTCTGGTTTGACGTCACTTTTTCCTTTTCCCATTTTGGAAGAATCCGTATTTTAGGACAAAACTACCACACACAATCTTCACCTAAAAAGCATTAGTCTTTTCTCTTGGGTCATCTCTGAAAAATATGTATCGTTCCTACAACTTTATATACTCCAGGCCTTTTCTTCCCTTGTTTTCATTTTTAAAACGTGGAAAATATTTTAATTCTAATACATTGGTAATCATCCAAAGAAGACACAACAATTTGTATATGAAACATAGGCAAAACATATTAACTGTCCTGGAGACATTATAGTTAATTTCATAATAAGTATGAATTAATCCATTTATTTGAGATCTAAGTCCTTTTTTAACAGACACCCAGAAACTTTTTTTATTAAAAGGAATTTATTTCTCTGGTGCAGTATATGTGCTGCACAGGATCAAATGCAGGGACTGTGTATCCTACAGAAGAACTTGGACAATGAAAGACCATCAGCCATTATTTGTTTCTCTACAACCCATCATGGTACCAGAAACTATGCAACAAAGAATACTGCAGAGGAACAAAACCAAAAGAATGTGTATGTGCCATGAAACAGGTTCAGAAGAACAGCTTACACAGCCGTGCTGTAGATCATCAAGGTCATGTGCACAACAGAGAGGCCGACAACACAGAAGCTGCTCAGTCCACAAAGCTGCATCCTCAGCAGTTCCATTCTGGCAGTGAACACCTAAAACTTCCAAGAGCGATCGCTACTTAGTCCATGTTGGAAGGCCAGTGGAGCTGCAGTCTGTCACTGGAGGACTGTAGCAGCAACAACAGCAGCCACAGCAGCAGAAAGAAGAAAACACACAGATGAAACATTGCTTTTTCCTCAGAGATCTTTATATCTACACCAAGTTATAAGGTCCCAATCACATGCTTGGCCTGTTCTCAGTTGAAGCCTGGCTGATGGACATTAACAGGACACATACGTTAGTGAATTCATCCCTTAAGAGATTGACAAACACACCAATAGGATGTTTGAGAGTGAGTTGTCTATAAATGAAGTGAACCTTTATAAAAGGATTAACACCATTTTGATTTTACATTTCTAGGGATTTTCTCCCACAAGCCACTTGATATTTAAAGAACACTGTGCTATGTAACTGCTCTACCATGAAATTAAAGCAAGTGCAACATCTAAAGGCATTATTCACACTCTGAGGGTTCTTAGGCACAAGGAATTTTTCCACGTAATTGCAAAGAACTGTGGGATCTAAAGGGTTTTCCACACTGTGTACATTGACTGAGTTTTTTCTGCTCAGTATGAGTTCTTTTGTCCATTTTAAAATAACTGAGTTCTCAAAAGCCTTTACCACATTACATTCTTATGTTTTTTCACCAGTATGATTTTTTTTTTAACTATGGCATCTAAAAGCTTTACTACACAGTCTTTAAAGTTTTACTGCAGTATGGATTATTTCACGTCACCGAAGGTAAGTGTGATGTCTAAAAGCTTTACCACATTGTTCACATTCATAGGGCTTTTTCTAGTATGAAGTTTTTCATGTAATTCAAAATAACTGTGGCATCCAAAGGCTTTGTCATATAGTTCACATTCACAGGATTTAGATCTATTGTCAATTTCTTCATGTTTTTGAAGATTACAGTGATGTGTAAAGGCTTTACCACATTTTTTATATTCTCAAGACTTTTCTCTAGTATGAATTCTTTCATGTGACTGAACATAATGGTGACATACAAAAGCTTTACACATGGTTTACATCTATTGGGTTTTTTTCCCAGTATGATATTTTTCATGCTTCTTAAGGTAACGATGACATGTAAAAGCTTTATCACATTGTTTACAGTCATATTGTTTTTCTAAGGTATGAATATTTTCATGTCTTCGAAGATCACTGTAACATCTAAAGGATTTACCACATCGTTTACATTCATGAGGTTTTTCTCCAGTATGAAATTTTTCATGTTTTCGAAGATCACCGTGATGTGTAAAGGCTTTACCACATAGTTTACATTCATAGGGTTTTTCGCCAGTATGAATTTTTTCATGTGATTGAAGATTATAGTATTCTCTAAAGGCTTTTCCACATTGTTTACATTCATAGGGTTTTTCTCCAGTATGGATTTTCTTGTGCCTATAAAGACAACGGTGATATCTAAAGGCTTTTCCACATTGTTTACATTCAAAGGGTTTTTCTCCATTATGAATTTCATGATTTTGAACATGAGAATCATATCTAAAGACTTTACCACATGGTTTACATTCCCTGGGTTTTTCTGTAGTATGAATTTTTTCATGTAACTTAAGACTACTGTGCCAGCTAAAACTCTTACCACATTGTTTACCTTCAGAGCATTTTTCTCGAGCATGAATTTTTTTGTGTCTATGAAGATGACTGAGACTTGTAAAATCTTTTCCACATTGTTTACATTCATAGGGTTTGGCTCCAGTATGAATTCTTTCATGTCTCTGAAGTTGGCTGTAACGTCTAAAGACTTTACCACATTGTTTACATTCCTTGGATTTTATTACAATATGATTTTTTTCATGTCTTTGAAGATTGCCATCATGTCGAAAGGCTCTACCACAATGTTTACATTCCTTCGGTTTTTCACCAGTATGAATTCTTTCATGTACTTTAAGATTATTAAGCTGTCTAAAGGCCTTATCACATTGTTTACATTCATAGGGTTTTTCTCCAGTATGAATTCTTTTATGTAATTGAAGACTAGTGTGATTCCTAAAGGTCTTAAGACACTGTTCACATTCATAGGGTTTTTCACCTGTATGAATTCTTTCATGTAACTGTAAGGAACTAGGAAATCTAAAGGCTTTACTACATTGTTTACATTCATAGGGTTTTTCCCCACTATGAATTCTTTTGTGTCCTAGAAGAGAAGTGGATGAACACAAATATTTACCACATATATTACATTGATATTTTTTTACAGTTTGAGTTCCTCCATGCGTGTTACATGAATTGGCATCAATAGAAGCCTTTCTACATTCCTTGTATTGATAGAATTTTCCTGCACTGTGTTTTTCTTGATGTGTTTCCAATGAACTTGGCAAACCAAAAGGTTTTAAACAAGTCTTAGATTTAGCAGGTCCATACATCATGTGTGTTCTCATATGTCTTAGACAGCTTGTGAGAGAGTTAGAGTTCTGGGGCTTGTTTCCATACTCTTCATGCTCATATGGTTTATACTGAGAGGGAGATATAGGATGGTTATTAATGGGTGAATGACACATGGAAACATTTCTACACACACTATGTCCACATGGTGTTAGGTCACTAGAAATTGTCATGCTCATATTGGAATTTTCTATGCAAGTGGAAGTTTCTCCATCTTGAAGATCTTCTTTATGCTCACAGAATGTCTTAAGCATGGAACTTCTATAAAAACAGCAAGTATATCAGTAAGTCAATTTATTACTAAAAATTTATTACAAGATATAAGTCACACACTGTTCCAAAAATCAGTTAAAGTATATGTCTTCTGCCATATTTGAATGGTCTGAAACTAAATGGAATGATGATTTGACAATATGTCTCCCACACAGGGATGATAAAAAGGAAACACGAATAGCATTCTTACACTGAAGTACAAGTTACAAGACATAATGATGAATAAATTTAAAGCTATACTTATTTGTTTTGTTTGTTTATTCACAGACAATTACATTAAAATTTTCATTAGGGGACTGGAGAGATGGCCAGAGGACCAGAGTTTAATGCCAGCACCCATATTCAGCGGTTTACAACTTCTTGTAATTTGAAGTCCATGAATCCAACACCCTTTTCTGGACTCTGTGGGCACCTTCACAAAAGGTTGTGCATACACACCCACACATCTGCAAACACACACAGCCACTCCACAGAAATACACACACGAGAGAGAGAGAGAGAGAGAGAGAGAGAGAGAGAGAGAAAGAACAGAAGATCCTTCAAAGGAAATTTGCTTCCACTTTTGCATATAAATTACCTTAGATGTCTTCCAGATCTCATCTGATCTTCCCATTTGTGGCCTAAAAAGTAGTCAAACAAAATTTATGGTGAATTAGAAATTAGTGAAAAACAAATTGCTAGCTCTAGTGTATATTGGATCATGACGGATTCATACACTACATTCACCCTTTTCCATATTTCAAATCACAGATGATCATCAATACACAGAAACACTTGTTGCCTAACTTATGAAATGAAGGTATTATATTTTTACCTATAGCAGTGAGGTTCCTACAGGTTTCCAGCATCACATCTCTGTAGAGATTCTTCTGAGAAAGATCCAGCAAAGCCCATTCTTCCTGGGTGAAGTTCACAGCAACATCCTCAAATGTCACAGAATCCTAAACATTCCATAGACTCCATTGATAATATGTTCTGTGCTAGCCATACATTTGTTTCATAACTCAGCAGTTCTAATGCAAGCATGGAGTGGTTTAGAAAGGAAAGAACACCTCAAGAAACACTTTTCTCATTACTGGGCGCACTGCACAGGCTGTGCTGCTGCTCTGTCCCAGTTGTCTTTCCACAGCCTATTTCTATTTTCTATCTTAAGAAAGTTCCACCACCTGATATAGACAACGCTGTTAGCATTAGCATGCAAGAGCCTGCTTATCTTTAGAACTTCCTGCTCACGGTGTTTAAGTTTTGACAGCATGAAGAAATTTAACATTGTGCTAGATTACATGATCCTAAATGAAAAGTCACTCATCATAATGATTTCTATGAACTTTATGAACCTCTGTCCTCATTCTAAAAGTCTATTAATCTGTTCTAATCTCACAGAGCTAATTAGAGAATCAGTTCTCATGCCTCCAAATAATAACAGGCACTGAGTGCAACAAGCTTCCTTGGTGGGCACAATTTCATACATGCTGTCACAACTTGTTAAAATGAGGAAATGAGCCCTTTCTGTGTGTTTACAGAAGACATCATTTATATGCTGTAAGCACAAATTTAATCGAGCAACAAATATTATAAATGATCGATATTTAAAGATCCTAAAAATATTTATGTGTAAAATGTCAAGTGAGAATGGAGCAAGTAGAAAATATCATGTGCTTAGAAAAAACTCAATGAGCCAGTTACACTGACACGTGTGTATAGTCATAGCTGCATCAGAGGATAAGAAGCAAGGTTCACTTGAGTCCAGGAATCCAAGTCAGCCTATGCAACAGAGCAAAACACCTACTTCCAGATGAAGGGAGGGAGGGAGGAAGCGGGAGAATGAGACAGGGAGGAAGCAAGGGAGGGAAAGAGGGAAGCAGGAAGAAGTGCACTGTCGCCAAACTCATGCCTTCCTTATACTTTTAGAAAATCTCCTGAATCTCCAAAATATACATTTTGGAAGTCATCAAATATTGGTTTTTTTTGTCCTTTTGAGACAGGGTCTCCCTGTAGCCCCAGCTGTCCTGGAACTCACTATGTAGACCAGGCTGGCCTTGAACTCACAGAGATTCACCTGCCTCTGCCTCCCGAGTGCTGGGATTAAAGGCATGCACCATCCCACCTGGCCAAATATTCTTTTTTCAAATTGACAAGTGATAACAAATATCTAGGAATTGTCAGTCAAGTGGATCATCATGGCACATGCCTTGAGGCCATTATAAACATGATAAAAGATTTCAGTGAATTTAAAGAACACACAAAGAAATCAAAGAGCTGAAGGAAGATAGGGATAAAAGAGTTAGAAATATTGAAGACTACTCAGATTGAAATGAAGAAGGAAGTGAAACACTCAGTAAGCCGATTAGAAAAGGAATTGTCAGTCAAGTGGATCATCATGGCACATGCCTTGAGGCCATTATAAACATGATAAAAGATTTCAGTGAATTTAAAGAACACACAAAGAAATCAAAGAGCTGAAGGAAGATAGGGATAAAAGAGTTAGAAATATTGAAGACTACTCAGATTGAAATGAAGAAGGAAGTGAAACACTCAGTAAGCCGATTAGAAGAATCTCAAGATAACGGTGCAGACCAGATCTTCAACAGAACTGTAGAAGAAAATTTCCCCAAATTAAAGAAAGACATGCCATACAAATACAAGAAGCATATAGAACACCAAATAGGACTAGAAAAGAAACCCTCCATGGCACATCATAGTAAAAACACTACACGTACAAAACAGAGACAATAATAAAAGCTGCAAAAGAAAAACATCAAGTCACATATAAAGGAAAAAACATCAGCATTACAGCTGACTTTTCAGTGCAAATTATGAAAGCCAGAAGAGCTTGGACCAAAATATTCCCAGTTTTAAATGACCACAGATGCCAACCCAGATTACTATACCCAGCCAAAATGTCTACTATAGTCGAAGGGGAAAGAAAAATCTTCCATGACATAAATAGGCTGAAAGAATTCATGTCCACAAACCAGCCCTTCAGAGAGTTCTTGAAGCAATACAAAGAGCTGAAGAAGGGAATGACTGTACCCAAGGGGTTGCAGAAAGAAATTCCATGAAGGTATAACTGTGGAAAAGCACAACTGTATCAAGAAGGTGAACAAAAATAAAAACGACAGGATTTAATACACAGCTTTCATTAATAACTTTAAATATCAACAGACTGAAGTCCCCAGTCAAAAGACACAGACTGGGTGAATGGATTAATAAACAAAACCCATATTTTTGTTGTCAGGAAGAAACTCATTTCACTTTCAAGGACAGGCGCTACCTTAAGGTAAAAGGATGGAAAAAAATATTCCAAGCAAATAATACTAAGAAAAAACCAGGCATTGCAATTCTAATATCTGACAAAATAGACTTTAAACTAAAACTAATCAGAAGAGATAAAACAGGCCACTTCATTCTGATGAAAGGAACAACAAATCAAGAAGCTATTACATTCATAAACATATATTCACCAAACTCTGGAGCACCCAACTTCATAAACACAGCAATACAGGACTTTAAGACCCAGATTAATCCCAACTCATTAATAGTAGGGGACTTCAATACCCCACTGTCTCCATTAGATAGGTCAACAGGGCAGAGAGTTAACAGAGAGACATCTGAATTAAGTAATACCAAACATCAAATGGACCTAACAGACATCTACCGAGTATTCTACCCAAGCACCAAAGGATATACTTTCTATTCAACACCCCATGGAACCTTCTCCAAAATCGACCATATATACACTGGGGCACAAAACAAGCCTCAACAAATACAAAAAGACTGAAATAATTCCATGCATTCGATCAGACCACAATGCAATAAAGCTTAAAATCAACACCGGAAGAAGCCCTAGTAACCACATGAACACACGGAGATTAAACAACACACTCCTGAAGGATGAATGGGACAAAGGAGAAATTAAGAAATAAAAGTATTCCTGGAACTAAATGAAAAGGACAATACAACACAACAAAACCTCTGGCACATGCTGAAAGCTGTCCTTAGTGGGAAGTTTATAGCTCTAAGTGCCTGCATTAAAAAAATCAGAAAGAACACAAATAAATAACTTAACATTGCAACTCAAGACACTTGAAAAGTAACAACAAATGAAACCAAAACCCAGCAGACAAGAAAAAATAACAAAAATCAGAGCAGAAATTAATGAAATGGAAACAAAGAAAAAAATACAAAGAATCAACGAATTCAAGAGCTGGTTCTTTGAAATGATAAACAAGATTGACAGACCACTAGCCCAGTTAACCAAAAGAAAGAGCACCTCCAAATCAACAAAATCAGAGGTGAAAGGGGAAATATCACAACAGACACCAAAAAGATCCAGAACATTATAAGGGATTACTTTAAAAACCTATATGCTACTAAATCTGAAAACCTAAAAGAAATGGATGCATATCTAAAGGTATGAGAACCACCAAAACTAAACCAAGAAGAGATTAACAGTGTAAACAGATCCATAACACAAAAAGAAATTGAAACAGTAATACAAAACCTCTCAACTAAAAAAAGCCCAGGACCAAATGGATTTACAGCAGAATTCTACCAGATATTTAAAGACGATCTACATCCAATACTACTTAATTTATTCAAAAAGATAGAAATGGAGGGAGAACTTCCAAATTCCTTCTATGAAGCCAGCATGACTCTAATACCAAAGCCAGGTACAGATACAACCAAAAAATAAAACTATAGACCCATATCCTTAATGAACACAGATGCAAAAATTTTCAACAAGATACTCTGAAACTGCCTACAGACACACATCAAAAAGATCATCCACCATGATCATCCAGAGCTGCAGGGATGGTTCAATATACATAAGTCAATAAATGTCATAAATAATATAAATGGGCTCAAAGAGAAGAACCACATGGTCATCTCAATAGAAGCAGAGAAGGCCTTTGACAAAATTCAACATGCATTTATGTTCAAAGTCCTAGAAGGAATTGGACTGGAGGGAACATACCTCAACATAATTAAAGCCATATATAACAAACACACAGCTAATATCATTCTAAATGGAGAAAAACTGGAAGCATTCCCATTGAAATCAGGAACCAGACAAGGCTGTCCACTATCTCCACTCCTTTTCAACATAGTGCTTGAAACTCTTGCAAAAGCAATAAGACAAAAACAGGAAAGTAAAGGAGTAATCATTGGAAAAGAAGAGATCAAATTATCACTTTTTGCAGAGTATATGATACTATACCGAAGAGATTCCAAAAGTTCCACCAGAAAACTCCTAGAACTGATCAACACTTTCAGTAAAGTGGCAGGTTACAAAATTAATCTACAAAAATCAGTAGCCTTTCTATATACCAATAACAAGCAATCACAGAAAGAGCACATGGAAACACTCCCTGTCACAATAGCTGCAAAAAAATAAATAAAATAAAATAAAATAAAATATCTCAGAACAAACCTGACCAAAGATATTAAAGACCTCTACAATGATAATTTTAAATATTTAAAGAAAGAGATTGAGGAAGACATCAGAAAATGGAAGGACCTCCCATGCTCATGAATTGGAAGAATTAATAGTGTGAAAATGAGCATCCTTCTAAAAGCAATATATACATTCAATGCAACCCCAATCAAAATCCCCATGACATGCTTTACAGAATTAGCAAAACCCATCCTTAAATTCATATGGAAGCACAAAATACCCTGCATAGCCAAAGGAATCCTGAGCACCAAAAGCAACACTGGGGGGATTACTATACCAATATATACTACAGAGCTATTGTCATAAAAACAGCATGGTACTGGCACAAAAATAGACAAATAAATCAATGGAACATCATTGAAGACCCAAACCTGAGTACATGCAATTTCAGCCACCTGATATTCGACAAAGGAGACAAAATCACACAAAGGAGGAAAGAGCATATTTAACAAATGGATGTTCAGCAAATGGTGCTGGCAAAAC